CCTAATGGGGCTATCGAAAGCTGCTTTATAATCGACAAAAAGGTGGTGAGTGTCGATGTTATGTTCGTGGGCTTTTTCCACAACCAGACAACCACATTGATGAAACAGAGTATGCAGTAGATTTTTATGATGGAATAAATTTCTATATTGTGGAGAGTTGAAGAGTGGGGACCTAAAGGCGTAGAATCTGTATTATTACTAATATTTTCCTTGATAGACTAAGCGGCATTTTAATTTTTTTTGAAGCTTGTTAAGTTTTGTGTTCTGATTATTAATTAAAACGAATATCGCCAAGCTATATAATGAAGTGCTGTTAGTAAAACGTAAGCTTCTTTGTTTTAATTTCGGTCATTATTATTATTATTATTATTAAAATAAGGGATTGCACACTGCGACCTGTGCGACTGTGCCCCTTACTCGGGTTAGAATGTTTCTCCAAGTCCGATTTTTTGAATGAAATACAGTATAGATCCTACCTTTCCTAGTCTTGAATCTTTATGATACATGAAATACCCTCCTAGGTGTTTCTTCCGTTTATGCATCAGTACCCAAACACATGGTGTGCTGCTTCTCTCTCTTCTCTACAGTATTTGCAGTCTGAGTTGGATTGAATTCCTAACTTCGATAGATGATTATTCAATCTACAGTGACCGGTCAATAATCCAGTAACAATTTTTAGGTAATTTCGGTCATAGTAGGCAAGACTTTAAACTTACTGTATTTTTGCTTATGTATTTCTAAAATTTTGACTATAGTTGCACCCTGTATAGGCATTTTCAGCTATTACCTTTTTGCAATAAATGGTGAACTAAAATCTAACGTTTTGCATTCTAAACATTAGCTCCATTAGAAAACATCAAATATGTGTGCAGTAACGCATAAATTTTGGCTTCTAAAAGGTCTCTAATAGCCTCTGTTCCTCTTTAATTGCAACCCATTTCAGTGTGGCAGTGCAGTTTAAATCTCTCTAGCAACTTTAGGTGCTGCATGCTAATTTAGAATAATTGAAAATGTAACAATATTTTTCTTTGCTGGGAAATTGTGAAAATTTTTAATAAAATGCAAATAGGAATTGTGAAGAATTATGCCACCTTGCCTAATGCACATGATAATTATTTTACAGCTCTTGGAGCTATGAACTGTAAGTGACTTTTAATAAGTTTCAGTTGTGTCATTTGATAAAAATTTTTAAAAACTCACAAGGACGAAAAACTGTAATATTAGTTGGGAATGTAGAACTAGAAACTCCTTTGTTTTCTATATATTTTTATGAAAATCCGTTCAACTGCAGTGAGTGCAGTGAGGAGAACAAATTGCCTCAAGGTGTGCTTGTTACATTCTGATGTTATTTTATATTTACATTTTATTTTATTTTATTTTATTTAATTTTTATTTTATTTTATTTGTATTTCTTATTTAATTTTATTATTTTTTTTTTTTGAATTTTTCTGTAATTCTTGACGTTTCCTCTTGCCAAAACCAAACAAAACTTAACCAAAGTCATAACTGATTTACTAGTCAGCAGTACAATGAATAGTCGTATGGCAGAGAGCTATACCAAGTTTATTTTACATACTTTCAAAAAGTTTTTATTTCTTGCTGGATCCCAAGTTGCTGTTAGCAGAACGGAATCGACCCATGAAGTGTTAACATGTTTTGTAATATCTGAAAGTGAAAATAATGAAATTTGCTAAGAAGAAATTCAAAACTTTACGAAACCAGAACTTCTCTGCAACTGTTAGGACAACATGATTTACTTTTCGAATATTCAGAAAGGTCAATTTAAATTCTTTTTTACTTGGACGTAGGTTGCATATACAAGCACTTACAAGAATACCAAGTCTTAATTAAATATATTAAGAAGTGAAAACGTTTTATGCTTTTTTATTTATCTTATTTATCTACAATCAACTTAGTTTATTAGAAGAAAAACTTAAATTTATTTTTTTTTTTACTAATTTTCCATTTAAGTTTTACTGCTTTTGTTGAACTTTGTAAATGCATTAATTAATTTCTTACACAAATCGAAAGGAAACTTTGTGTAAAATATTTGTATAAAACAACAAACAATTTGTTCTCGACTAAATGAGTAAAGTCATTCGCCAACCCTAATTTTATCTTAGGCAATTTAATGCAATAAGATCCAAAATAATTAGTATCCTTTGAAAGCAGAGCGTTAACGAAATTCTAAATTGCCAAATGGGACGGAAATTGATAAGAACACATCAATTTATTTAACTTCACTGAGTTTGGTAGCTTTTAGTGTACTTCCATCCTTCCATCCTACCATCCTACCATCCGTCCATCCGTTCATTCGTCTATCCATTTCGTTTGTTCGTTCATTTGTCAGCATATCCTTTGTACGAGTGTCTTACAGTCCATATGTCTTACTATCGCTTTAAGTGCTGTCAAAGCAGTTTCCAGTGCTCTGTCCAGCTCTTCTGCTCCGTTTGGCAGCACACTGTGGGCAGGAGGGGGCGCAATGAAACAGCTGTTTCTAAATTGCTTTTGACTTTCTAAAACATTCAAGTTGACAAAATTCTAAAATGATTTCATTAGATATTTATGAATTTATGAATTTGGTATGGTTTGGTATGGTTTTTTCCGTTATGTTTGTTGAATATCCTCGTTATCATTACTTAGTTATTGTTATTGTTTTTATTTTCCTATTTGTTATTGTTACTGAGCCACTTACGCCGCTTGCTCAATGACTGGTAAGCGTTATCGGGACAGTTATTTTTGGGTGGCAAAACCATAAATAATTTCGGAATGTCTTCATTCTCGGCGTATGCCTTTGCTTAATTTATTGTAAGTTTTGCTTATGCCGTTTTAAATTTATGATTTTCCTCGCCTACAATTCATTGTCATAAATTTGTAAATTATCAAAATTATCAAATTCTCCTCAATCTTCGCAGCCGCCCCTTCAATTTGATGTTTCCTTGATGTGGTTTTTGGTGGGTTTGATATAAGGTTACAATAAAATTGCACTTGTGGCTTATTTGAGGTTTTCGGTTACAGTTTCGTCGGGGATGGGTACATGTTTTGTTAATGACTCGCATAATCGTTTTAAAATTTGATTGGTTATGGGTAGCTCATTAGTAATAGGGCATGTCAGGATAAATATATTGTAATTGATGTTAAGTTTCTTTTGTTGTTGGTTTTGTAGTCAAGTTAACCTCATCCCACAATTTTGTTGTAGAATTAGTTAAGGCTGCATTGTAATTTGTCACAAATTGTCGGTGGTTTTGAAGGTGATTGAGTCGTTTAAATAGGCATGGATTATTATTTGACAAATTGGAATTACACGATTAAAACGATTAGTAATATGTGTATTTGTAACTTTTGTTTAATAAATTTTAGTAAATTTACTTAAAAATTGTATAGAAAAATTTGATTTACTTTAATCTGAAATATACGAAGGAAGACTGTCCAGTTACTAGTTAAAAATTATTGGTTTAGGAGTTAATCAGAAACATATACTTAAAATTGATACATTTAGTAGCTAATACAAGTTGGTTGGAAAGCTTTGTAAGCAAAAATGAAAAATTGTGAATTTTTTAATAAAATTTGTATTTTTCTACAAAACAATCTCCCGCAACTTCAATACATTTATTCCAACTATCATTCAATAATTTTATACAATATATTATTGCTCCACCGCTGCAATGGTTTATTTATTCGATGAAAAACGATATTCAATAAAGGAATTGCTTCAGATTTCTGAAGAGATGAAAGTCAGAGCGAGCTAGATCTGGAGAGTACGGGGGTGTTTAAGCAATTCGTAATTTAATTCGTTAAATGTCGTCTTCGTCAAAACACTTGTGTGAACTCGTACATTGTCTTGTCATAAAAATTATTGTTTTTTCCGTTAGCCGGATCTTATCTCAATTATTTTCTATCTAACTGATTTAAAAGATTGTAATAGTATTCAGAATTTAATGTTTTTGCCGATTGTTCTGATTTCATCTGTATTGGAGCTCAACAATCAACTTCAGTTTACTGTAAACGTTCTTGTTTCAAAATATTAGAAGCGTCTTACAAATTGATATTTGTAACACTTAATAATGTTAATAGTTTTAGGAGATAACCCATTAATAATTATTTCTCCCCTGATATAAGTAGTCCATTAAATTAACAAAAAAATATAATTATTTTTTCATTAAAATTCATTTAAAAACCTGAAACAACACCGTTTTCAATAAATCTATTAAAATTCCTTAAAAAACACAAAATAATTTCTCGATTCCTAATTTTGGTAACTTTATCTTAATCCCTAAAAATAGCTAGTGTGCCTCTGTGGCAGTATCTTTAGCTGTGGTCTCAGAGTTAACTCACATAAATAGCTAGGTGAACTGCATTTATTTGTGAGAGGGATAATGATTTTTTGTTCCGAGAATTTAACATATTTTTCTTAGTCTTTGGAAATAGTTAGCATATCCTTCTATTATATATTTATTTCTATTTGAGCCAGTGCACTTGAGCACTTTTACTCTTTATTAACTCAAGGTTTATCACTTCAGATTAAGCTATAATTGACCTCAGATCTGCACACCTCCCCGAGGAGCCTGTAACCATTCTGAGATTTGATAACGTGAGGTCTTGTAGTTTATCAATAATTCCATATAAT